TCATTGCCGGTCGGTGGCAGCGGCAACAACACTACCTTTTCACCCGGGGTGGCTCGCATTAGATGTCTTTCCTTCGCAAGCGAGGGCGTGCATCAGCAGGAGGCGAATGGCGGCAGCGATAGTTGTGGAGGTTGGAATGCGGTGGCGGGGCCGCATGTAGCTTCTTGCTCGGGCGGTTGTGGTCGATCCTACACCTAGATCCGACACTCCCGAGGTTGGCTACGTCTATGGAGGTCCGATGTGCCCCTTTGCCCGTGACGTGGGGAGATGTGAGGCAAACCTGGCCAAGTGGGTCAGCCCTGCCTTGCCTACGCTTAAACGTGCCAGGCACGACACGCCTCTCCTAGGCATATTTGTGAGTGGGACGTGTCGTGTCGGCACGCAAATCTCGCCCCTAGGCCTAAGCATGGCACACTTATTAAACAGGTCGACCCGTGACATGTGAGAATTCTTGTTATAAGTAATCATGTCAAATTGGTATTCGTTCAATATTTTGATGATGTGTATGTTGCTCTTCCTCTAGTGGTATTGTGTGAACGTCAACTACACGACACATTGCCATGCTTGGGCCTAGGAGAAGGCATTGTGGATTAGTAAGTAGATGATGGTTTGCGAGAGTGACAGAGGCTTAAATCCTAGTTTATGCGTTATTCCGTAAGGGGCTGATTTGGATTCATATGTTGTATGCTATGGTTAGATCTATCTTAATTCTTCTTTTGTAGTTACGGATTCTTGCGAGAGGGGGTAATCATAAATGGGTTGTTTGTTCAAGTAAGAACATCACTCTAGCACCGATCCACCCACATAACAACTTTATCAAAGTAGTGAACAAGACTAAAACATGATGAAGTTAACTAGAAGATATTCCCATGTGTCCTCAAGAACGTTTTGCTTAATATAAGGATTGGGCCACCTTACTGCACCTTTCTACATTGGTTACTTGTTATTTGCTATCAATTGTCTCGCTATCAAACTATCTGTTACTGTCATTTTTCAGCACCTGCAGATAATACCTTGCTGAAACTGCTTATCAATTACTTCTACTCCTCGTTGGGTTCAACACTCTTATAAAAAAGACTATGATTGATCCCCTATATTTGTGGGTCATCAATACCATGCATGTACCAATTTGTGTATCACATTACAAAGACTTATAGGCCTAAAATCTAAACGCTTTGACGGGTTAGCAATCTTTGGAATAAGATGAAGGAAATATGCCCTAGAGGCAATAATAAAGTTGTTGTTTTATATTTTCTTATTCATGATAAATGTTTATTATTCATGCTAGAATTGTATTAACCAGAAACTTGATACATGTGTGAATATATAGACAAAATACCGTGTCCCTAGTAAGCCTCTACTAGACTAGCTCATTAATCAAATATGGTTAAGTTTCCTAATCATAGACATGTGTTGTCATTTGATGAACGAGATCACATCATTAAGAGAACAATGTGATGGAAAAGACCCATCCTTTAGCTTAGCATATTGATCGTTTAGTTTTATTGCTATTGCTTTCTTCATGTCAAATACATATATTCCTTCGACTATGAGATTATGCAACTCCCGGATACCGGAGGAATATCTTATGTGCTATCAAATGTCACAACGTAACTGGATGATTATAAAGATGCTCTATAGGTATCTCCGAAGGTGTTTGTTGGGTTGGCATAGATCGAGATTATGATTTGTCATTTCGAGTATCGGAGAGGTATCTCTGGGCCCTTTCGGTAATGCACATCATAAGAAGCCTTGCAAGCAAAGTGACTAATGAGTTAGTTGCGGGATGATGTATTACGGAACGAGTAAAGAGACTTGCCGGTAACGAGATTGAACTAGGTATGTAGATATCGACGGTCGAATCTCGGGCAAGTAACATACCGATGACAAAGGGAATAACGTATATTGTCATTACGGTTTGTCCGATAAAGATCTTCGTAGAATATGTAGGAACCAATATGAGAATCTAGGTTCCGCTATTGGTTATTGACTGGAGAGGTTTCTTGGTCATGTCTACATAGTTCTCGAACCCGTAGGGTCCGCACGCTTAACGTTGGATGACGATTTTGTATTATATGAGTTATGTGATTTGGTGACCGGATGTTGTTCTGAGTCCCGGATGAGATCACAGACATGACGAGGAGTCTGAAATGGTCGAGATGTAAAGATTGACATATAGGATGATAGTATTCGAACACCGGAAGTGTTCCGGAGGGTACTGGGTACATATCAGGTCACCAGAAGGGTTTCGGGCACCCCTGGCAAAAGATATGGGCCTAATGGGACAAGAAGGGAAACACATCAGCCAACAGGGGTTGCTGCACCCCCCATATGGGCCGCACCAGAGGAGAAGGAAAGAGGGGAAGAGAGAAGGAAGGGGAGGGATTCGGCCTCCCCTTCCTTCCCTCCTCCCTCCTCCTTCCTTCCCCCTTCAGAACTTATGGAAGGAGGGGAGGCCGAATTGGAATAGGCCCCAAGTAGGATTCCTGCTACTTGGGGCGCCGCAAGGATGCTCCCCTCCCCCTCCCACCTATATATACGTCGGAAGGGGGGCGCCTAGAACACACACCAACAATTTTTAGTCGTGCGCGGCGCCCCCCTCCACAGTTTACGCCTCCGGTCATACCTTTGTAGTGCTTAGGCGAAGCCCTACACGGATCACTTCACCATCACTGTCACCATGCCGTCGTACTGACGAAACTCATCTACTTCCTCGACACTTTGTTGGATCAAGAGTTCGAGGGACATTATCAAGCTGAACGTGTGCAGAACTCGGAGGTGTCGTACGTTTGGTGCTTGATCGGTCAAAATGAGAAGAAGTTTGACTACATCAATCGCATTGTCAAACACTTCCGCTTTCAGTCTACGAGGGTACGTGGACACACTCCCCCCCTCTCGTTGCTATGCATCTCCTATATAGATCTTGCGTGAGCGTAGGAAATTTTTGAAATTGCATGCTACGTTCCCCAACAGTGGCATCAGAGCCAGGTATATGCGTAGATGGTATGCATGAGTAGAACACAAAGAGTTGTGGGTGGTGATCATCATACTGCTTACCACCAATGCCTTATTTTGATTCGGTGGTATTGTTGGATGAAGCGGCCCGGACCAACCTTACATGACCACGTTAATGAGACCGGTTCCACAAACAAACATGCAACTAGTTTTGCATAAAGGTGGCTGGCGGGTGTCTGTTTTTCCAACTTTAGTTGAATCGAAGTTGACTGCGGTGGTCCTTGTTGAAGGTTAAAACAGCAAACTTGATGAATCACCATTGTGGTTTTGATGCGTAGGTAAGAAGGGTTCTTGCTAGAAGCCTGTAGCAGCCACGTAAAACTTGCAACAACAAAGTAGAGGACGTCTAACTTGTTTTTGCAGGGCATGTTGTGATGTGATATGGTCAAGACATGATGTGATATACGTTATTGTATGAGATGATCATGTTTTGTAAAAGTTATCGACAACTGAACGGAGCCTTATGGTTGTCACTTTATTGTATGAAATGCAAACGTAATGTAATTGCTTTACTTTATCACAATGCGTTAGCGATAGTTGTAGAAGCAATAGTTGGCGAGACGACCACAACGCAACGATGGAGATCAAGGTGTCGAGCCGGTGACAATGGAGATCATGACGATGCTTTGGAGATGGAGATCAAAAGCACAAGATGATGATGGCCATATAATGTCATATATTTTGATTGCATGTGACGTTTATCTTTTATGCATCTTATTTTGCTTAGTACAGCGGTAGCATTATAAGATGATCCCTTAACTAAAATTTCAAGGTATAAGTGTTCTCCCTGAGTATGCACCGTTGCGAAAGTTCGTCGTGTTGAGACACCATGTTATGATCGAGTGTGATAGACACTACGTTCACATACAATGGGTGCAAGACAGTTTTGCACATGCGGAATACTCGGGTTAAACTTGGCGAGCCTGGCATGTACAACATGGCCTCGGAACACTGGAGACCAGAAGGTCGAACGTGAATCATATAGTAGATATGATCAACATAGAGATGTTCATCATTGATGACTACTCCATCTCACGTGATGATCGGATATGGTTTAGTTGATTTGTATCACGTATCATTTAGATGACTTGAGGGATGCCTATCTAAGTGGGAGTTCTTAAGTAATTTGATTAATTGAACTTTAATTTATCATGAACTTAGTCCTGATAGTATTTGCAAATTATGTTGTAGATCAATAGCTCGCGTTGTAGCTCCCCTGTGTTTTTGATATGTTTCTAGAGAAAACTAAGTTGAAAGATGATAGTAGCAATGATGGGGACTGGGTCTGTGATCTGAGGATTATGCTCATTGCTGCACAGAAGAATTATGTACTTGATGCACCGCTAGGTGACAGACCTATTGCGGGAGCAGATGCAGACGTTATGAACGTCTGGCAAGCTTGATATGATGATTACTTAATATTTTAGTGCACCATGCTTTACGGCTTAGAATCGGGGCTCGAATGACGTTTTGAACGCCATGGAACATATGAGATGTTTCAAGAACTGAAATTGGTATTTCAGACTTA